ATTTTGTATTCTTTACCACACAAAAAGTCCTTAACGACAGCAGCGCGTATTTTGACGCGCTTTTTGATTTCACGAACTAACACAATTGAATTTAATTGTGTTAGTTCGTGATGTGAGCGACGATATTCATAACATAGGTTTTCATCGATTGACCTTGCTTGAATACGGGCATCTGCAGTTCAAACAAATTGGCTTATAGGTTTTGTCCCGAAGGCTGTAGACCTAAACATTATTTTACAAAGTGTTACATTTGCCAGTGTCTGTCTTGCCTGGTAGCCTTAGCTCAATTCCCTTGTCAGTACAATTACAACATTTGTAGAATTGTTACTTCTTATAGGAAGGCGCTGATGGGAATCCTGAATGCGTTTTTTGGGACTTTGATTTGGAAAACGGACAAGGCGACTGGTCCAACGAAGGCTGTGATTACAACGAAACATCCGACGGCCGTGTCGTATGCTTCTGTGACCATTTAACAAACTTTGCTGTTATTTTGGTTTGTTTCATTATATTCCTTTTTAAAAATCACCATATTCAATAAGAAATGTTTTTTTTTTATATGTATTCAATATCTATGCCTTAAACACCCACACAAGTAGAAATTATTTTGTTTAAAAAATACTTAAACTGGTTTACTCAATATTCAAACTAGTTTACTCAATACTTAAACTGGTTTACTCAATATTCAAACTAGTTTACTCAATATTTAAACTGGTTTACTCAATATTTAAACAAATCTCACATCAATAACTTCTGTTTTTAAAGGATTATTCTGGTCAAGCCGGTCCAACCACGAGGTTTCAAGATTCGTTGACCTACATCAGCATCATAGGATGTGTAATATCTATTGTCTGCTTGGTTATCACTATTTTTACATTTATGTACTTCAAGTAAGTTAACAAATTATGTTCTTATTTCGTTGACCTACTGCTTTTTTTAGGTACATCAATAAAGTCCGTTTCATCGACAATAACATTTTTGAAAAAAATCACTTGAAAACCTGAAGAGGATTTTTTTCCAAATTAACATTCCATAACTGAAACTAAAGTTTTATTGTATATGTTATGTATTTTATTGAAATTTTAAAGAGGGCCCCATAACTTCATCTGACCTTTGAGTTCATCTGAAATATAGTAATCTATAAATAAAGTTAACTGAAGAACTGAAGTGAACTTCGAGTGTGATTGGATAGGCGCTATATGGGACAACGTGCTCTGACTTCAATTATAAACGTCTGAATGTATTTATGTTTAATTTATCAATGTACAATTTATATTAATATAAATTATATCTTCTCCGAATAAATGAAATTAATCAACATTTAATTATTATCTCTACAGACACTTACGAGGAAAGCGCCCTCAACGGATACTTATTAACTTGTGTTTTTCTCTGCTGTTTCTGTATCTAACTTTTGTCATCGGGATTGAGTTGACGAGTTGTCATAATTGCTGTATTGTCGTGGCCATCATGTTGCATTACTTCGTTCTAACGTCGCTGTCGTGGATGCTTGTTGAAGCGATAAATATGTATCTAAAATTTGTTTTGATATTTTACGAAGAAATACGTTGTTTTATGTTGAAGTCCGCACTCCTTGGCTGGGGTAAGTTTACCCAAGCTCATTTCTGACTTGCACGTGTTTACGAACAGAATATGGTTGTATCAAAATTAGTACAAGTTGAATCATATGAAGTAGAAAGTATTTATGCATTATAGAAAAACTAAATGTTATAAATATCTGTTTGAAGGTCTTTTTCCCA